TCAATAATTATATTCTAGGAATTTATCATGAGGAAATTACCAGATGTACAAAATGATTGATGTTTATTCAGGTGTGTCCCCTTGGATCCTCTGAGAAGCAGATGCTGAAGTTAAGAGTGTTAGAGATAGATTGGAAGTGGGAGGCAGGGAGGGGGAGGTAATGCTTGTAAGAGACAGGGAGGAAGCAGGACTGGAAAGGAAAAGCCCTTGGGCTCTGATGCAGATCTTGACAGCTGTGAAAGGAAAGAAGCTGGAGCAGAACCTGGCAGAGAGAGCCTCAGAGGGTATTCAGGTCTGGCAGTCTGGGCCAACCCAGTGGAGAGCTCTCTGACTGCCAGTTAGGGGGCACACCTAGTGCAGAAGGGGCCAGGCCCTGACACCCTCACTGTCTGTGCTTAGTCTTGGGCTAAGGGCTGCCAAGGAGGAGTGGCCTGAAGGCTCTGCAGCTGGAAGCTGTCAGCCAACTGCATTCTTTGTAGTCAAAGGGCAAGTTCTTGCTGGAAGGGAGGTGTAAGTACTATACCACAAGATGGATGTTCATTACAGTGTTATTAAAATGATGCAATTAGAAATAGTATTTTTCCTATAATAAACATAAAATACTCCATTTCTAATTAAGAGTGGGAAAGTAACTTCAAGATTGCATTTATTATTTTAAGCAGCCATGTACTACAGTAAGCTTTTGTTAACCTTGATACCCCTCCTTATCACATGAACTACTGTCAAGATTTTCCATGTCTTGATCTCTTGATACTGAATATTAGACTTTGTAGTTATCCTCTAACTTTTATATTTACTAGAGATGATGGTAAACGGAGGCTTTGATGGGATTTCGACTACCCCCAAGCTGCCTTAAACTGATACTGCCCTAAGGGAGATCCAGGCATGTACAAACAAGGCCAGTGTGTTGCTTTGCCTTAAACTACCCAGTCTTACTGGTTTCTGTTGAATTCTTTCTTTTTTTCCCTGGGTTGTAATTATCATCCACTTCTAGAATCAGGTAATGTTACTGCTTGTTTTTAGGAAAATTTTAGATCAGGACTCTTAAGTTTATTTTAAAGTTTCCTTAAACTCAAGATTTAATAAAATAATTTTAATCATTGAGTCTGTGGAATCTTTCAAAGAACTCTGCCTTTTCAAAGCCATAAGAAAGGCCTATGGTAATTATTTTGACCACTCTCTGCTTTTCATTCTCTCTTACTTTTTTTTTTTCTGTCCTTATGAACTCCAAGAAACACACAAGGGGACAGTTTGAAAACTTTGGTTCTTTTTCTTTGATTAATATTATAAAGATAAAAACTGTGGGAAAGTAAAGTTAAAATGAAGCTATTAAAACCAAGTTACATTTCTTTTCCTCCTAGGGCTCATTTTTATGCCTAGAGAAAGGGGTAGTTTCAAGAGTCTTTACAAGTAAGGAAACTTGTTATCTAAGGTGTTTTGTTAAAGAATCAGCAAATGTTTCCCCATAATTGACTTATAGGAAAAAGGTCTTCTACTGTATGTGTCCCTAGGGACCCCAGAACAAATTGTGTGCCACCTCTGTTGTATTGTTCATATTCCCCAAACTGAAATTTTGAAGAAGATAGGGCACCGTAACTTCCTCCAGTTACCTCAGAATGTTTTATCACTTTTACCCCCCATGATTCATTATATATTATAACTTTAGAAAAAGTGTGTTAGACTTTGCCAGGAATTGAAGGGACTGTATGTTTTTTCCTTCTAGGTAGTGTGTGTATAGATTTAAACATATGTGTATTTATGAATGTATGATGTATATATTTATTTAAAACAAAGTGTAAAACATATAGAAAAAGCAAACTGAGTAATCAAGTGTAGGTAGTGTTTTCGTTAGTCTAATTTGGAATGAGATTGTGATTGCCTGTCATGAGTTTGTGTTTCTCAGAGGTAACTTCTTAAGGTCAGGGCTGTGTCTTACTCCTCTTGTGACCATACTACCCAGCACAGTGATTTACACATAGTAAGTGATCATTGATATTGCAGACTGAAATTTCACTTCCAGTTTGTTTGTTTTTTTAATTTAGGGTTTGCCACTAGAAGGACTTGGTCAGCTCTTGTCCCCTTATTATTTTACCTTCAGTAATTTCCTGTTAATTTATTAAAAGCTTTGTATTCTAAAACTTGTTTTGGAAATTCAATTAGTCAGGTAGTACCAGTGGAAAATATTAAAAACAACTATTTATAATACTTTTATGTGACTCATTCATACTTCCTGATCAAAACTTTTATCCACAGAGATGTTAAGTAGACTTTTCTGGCAGGTATTCAGAAACACAGGAAATGAATAATTAAAAGCAGATCTTTGAAATGAACTTACATAAATGACAGAAATATAACCTAGGTTTTATTAGTCAGAATTTAATGATGAACTAGTACAAAACCTATCCTGTTTTTTAAGCAAGTTTTAATAATTATCAACCAAATTGCTTACTAAGCAAGCATTTAACAAAAATATGCTATTCATTACATCAAAACCCCAAAGCTACTTTCCTACCATATTTTTTTTTTTATATTAGGAAGTATCATTCATCATGAAATGTTCTACTCTCTTACTCAATTTATTTAAGGCAAGGCCCTGAACAGGGTCCTCAAACAGTTGTTTTCTGTAGCACTTCTTTGCCTTTACCAACAAGTCAGGTACTTGAGATAGACACTTCAAATTCCTCAATCAGCTGCTCATCTCTTGTCCTTAATCTGTTTCTCAATCTCATTTATAACCTCATTCATAATTGCAACAGGAGACCAATGAACTTTTTTTTTCTCTACCAAACTATTATACTAATGATTTACTTTCCCCAAATATGAAATTTTGCCTTGCTCCAGTGCTTAGGGATTTTTTTCTACCTTTAATGCCACCTTCTCTTTTGCTATATATACCACTTTCCTGACTCATTTCAATATTATTGTCTTCTCTGAAAACTGCTTTGGCCTTTAATGATCTCTTTCTCTATAACTACCACCGCTCTTTTCCCTTTGTTCTCACTTTTCTGTTCTGGCCTAGGAGAGGGACATGAGCTACTGCCTGTATGCCACACAATGACTAGAGGGGAGGGAGCTGGATGGAGGGAGTAAGGTGAAGTATATATAGTTAAAAAATAAAACCTTAGGCCAATTTGATGTGCTTTGTATCATTATGTATTTTTTCACCTTTTAAATTGTGAAAATATTGCTATTACCTGTGTTCATCACAGAGCTTTTGTTGTGTGCTTTTATTTAAGGACATCTTCCAATTGACAGGAATCATTTCATATTGGAACAATGGGTTCAGTTGTATATGTGGAGTGGTTAAGTGGTCAGCCTTCAAAAGCTTCTGTAACCCAGAATGTACAGAGGTAGATTGTTGTTAGCATTCTGTAAAATCCAGTTATAATATATACCTGTGTATCTGTGAGATTGTATTCACAATCCCAGTGTGTGTGTGTGTATGTATGTGTATGGGGGTATATGTGTGTATGGTGCCAGGAACACTATTCTCTTGCTACAGTGGTGAAGTTCTCTTCCTTTCATCCTACATGTGGTCAAAGCTGTTTATTGCGTACTATAAAGACTAGGAACTGCTTAAATAAAGATAGAACATCTACATATATTGTCATATACAAAACAATACTATACCACAAAACGAATGAAGTAGATCGGCATACTAGTGAAACAGTTTTCAGGAGAGATTAAAGTGAAAAAAATCACATTGTAGAGCAATAGGCCACGAACATTTACATAAGCAAGACACTTGCATATTCAACTATTCTCATACATGTATGGTCTGTCTCTGGAAGGATACATAGGTCTGCTGAGGTACTAGCAAATCCAGGGTAAGAAGGGAACTTACTTTGCACTATTTTCTTATTGGCACTGTTTGCATTTTTCTTACTACAATCCATATTACTACTTTTAAGAATTCCACATTTACTTAGTATCTTGTGCTGTACTCAAAAGTAGGACAGCAGGTTTTGAGGTAGCATGGCTTTGAAATCCTCACAACTTCTTTTGTGCCTCTTTTTCCCAATTCCTTACTGCTGCAAACAGTGAATGTGTGTTTAGTTTACAATTTGGGACAGTAGTGGAAAGAATATCTGCTTTGCAGGCAGATCAGACCTGTGTATACTGTGTATACAGTATATCTACAGTATACTGGCTTTTATGATTTGGGGTAAGTTATTTAATTTTATAGGATCCTTGAATATGTAGAGCTCAGAAAATAATTTATGTACTTAACTAAGAAAATATACATAGTGATTTGCATATAATAGGAATTCTATAAATGATAATTATTTTTATTTTAGTTGGATAACTAAGGGACTTTTAAAATTTTTAAAAATTTTTTAATGTTTATTTTTGAGAGGGAGAGACAGAGTGCAAGCAGGGAATGGGCAAAGAGAGAGAGGGAGACACAGAATCCAAAGCCGGCTCCAGGCTCTGAGCTGTCAACATAGAGCCTGACGTGGGGCTTGAACCCATGAACAGTGAGATCATGACCGGGGCCGAAGTTGGATGATTAACCCACTGAGCCACTCAGATGCCCTGAGTCTTGTTCAGATTTTTAAATTTCTGCTTTTCTAACTATACTGAAACTGGATCATTAACATTTGTATTTACCCTGGCATCCTTCTGTGGAATAACCACAAGTTTGAGTATCTTCTTGGCTCTTAGAGTATTTTTTTTTAGTGAAATAGCTTATTTTCCCTTTTTAATCCTGCAAAGTCTTTTAAATAAAAGCAATGTGCTTTGTTTTCATGGATGTAAATGGGAGTTTACTCTTTTATAATATTTTTCCATATTTGGGTAAGTATTTTAATATATATTATATGTTGCATATATTTATCCAGCAAGGAAACCATGGTTTTAAGCATGAGTCAATTGTGTAGATTAAAAGTGACAACTTTATGATTATAAAAATATTAGAATTCCTTTTTAACATGGATATATCATTTAGATACAGGGTTTTTTAGAGTAATATCTTTTTAAATATTTTTTTTCTTTTTCAGCTCTTTCAGTCTCACATGCCAACAAAAACAACTTGTCCATCCTCACAAATATCTGATGATGAGCAGAAAGTGAGTATATCTTTTAAACAGAGCCATATTATATTCTACATGCCTCTAGGATTTCAAAGTAACTACTCAGAGACCTGACAGACTTTTGTTTGTACCTTGAATATAACTTAACTTTTATGTTGATTGAAATTAAAAATCAATAATAGACTGAATACTTGTTGAGTGTTCTCCTTGTCTCTTTCCTATGGGACATGAAACAAATTAAAATTCTTGACTGTTTCTGCAGCATTCAGTAGAAAGACAAACACTGCTTTTGCTGGGCATACTTGCAGAACTTGGTGAATGTAGAGAAGTCCTTTAATGACAAGAGTGTAGGAAGTCGCCTGGTGGTCTTGTCAGATGCCTTCCTGAGTGTGAGATCAAGCCCTTAATGCTTCCAAGGTTATTCTAAGTGTGCTTGCATAGGAGGGATGTGTTTTGGTAAATCATATTGAAAATATATTTAAAACAGAGGAATTATATTTAACTTGGTGAAAGAGATGAGTTGATGACTTTTTAAATAAAATATGGCAAATACAAGGATGGGTAATTCAGTAAGTTTAAATGATTTCTTTTAGTTCTGTGCCCAAATGAGGCCTCTTCTTGCCTTTTCCCTCTTCCTTCACATATACTAAGGTCCCCATGGCTTTGATAAATTATAGTTTGACCACCAAACTACCATCCTTTTTATCTTTTTTTCTCTCATTGGTAATAATAGTCTGCCCCATTTTTATTTTTTTATTTTATTATTTTATTTTTTTTTAAATGTTTTATTTATTTTTAGGAGAGAGAGAGAGAGAGAGACAGCGTGAGCAGGGGAGGGTCAGAGAGAGAGGGAGTCACAGACTCTGAAACAGGCTCCAGGCTCTGAGCTGGCAGTCAGCACAGAGCCCGACGCGGGGCTCGAACCCACGAACTGCGAGATCATGACCTAAGCGAAAGTCAGACAGTTAACCGACTAAGCCACCCAGGCGCCCCATTAATCCTTTAGTGATAAATGAACTGAGTTGTCATTGCTTAGTCCTCATTTTCTCTGGTTCCTGTTCTTCAGTAAATTATGGTGACCGCTGCCACATTTGAGGAACTTTTTTTTCCATGACCTACGATCTTCTAGCTTTAGAACCAAAAGGGATTCTACAGGCCATTTAGTTAAAGTTTTATCTGATACACATGTGCTTGGGTAAAAATTCTAACAAGTATTCTAATCTTGAATACTTTCATTACTGGGAAGCGTAGTGTTTCACTTTCTTTTTATTAATGATAAAGATAACATACTTATATGACTAAAGGGGTTCCCAAAGGGCAGAAATGAGAATACAGTATACTTACTAGTTTTCTATTACCGCATAACAAATTGCCATGAATTTAGCTTCTTAAAACAACACCTATTTATTAGCTCATAGTTCTGTAGATCATAAAACTGGGTCGGCGTAGCTTGCTTCTCTGCTCATGGTCTCACTCAAGATGTTGGCTGGCTGCGTTCTTATCTGAAGCTCCCCTTCAGACGCTTTTAGGTTGTTGGCAGAATTTAGTTTCTTGCTGGCTGGTTGCTGTCAGCTCGAAAAGAACATTCTTCCATCCTTGCTATATGGCTCTCTGTCACTCATGCAACAGGGGAGAACTAATGTCAAATCCCCTTCAGGTTTCACATCTCTTTCACCTGAAAGATCCCAGTCCATTTTAAGGGCTCACCTTATTAGTTCAGACCCACCAAGGATAATCTCCCTTTCTTAGGTTAACTGATTTGGGACCTTAATTACATCTGCAAAATCCCTTCATAGCAGCACCTAGTTTCTGTTTGCTTGAAAAAATAGAAGGTGTGAGTACACCAGAAGGCATGAATCTTGGGGTCCCTCTTAGATTTCTACCTACCACACACAGTAACAAGTGAATCTTTCTAACTTACCTCCAAGACCACTCCCTCAACCTACAAATCCATTCCCCAGTAATAACCACTCTCAGGGAAACATTTTCTTCCCTAAATATATAGATAAGAATATATGAAAAAATAATACTTTTTTTTTAGTCAAATCACAGTAAAAAAAAATCACGTAGTTTTTGAGTCTTAACCATGTTGTGGCATGATTCAGTATTCTATTGTATGGATATACTACATTTTATTTATCCATTCAACAATTGTTAGATATTTTTGGTTGTTTCTAGTTTTTGACTATTTGGACTAAAGCTGCTATGAGCATTCATGTGTATGGATGGATGTTTTTATTTATCTTCGATACCTTTAGTTAGGGATTTTTGGTTATATTGTAACGTCTTTTTAACTTTATAAGAAACTACCCACCTGTTATTCAAAGTGGCTGTACCATTTTGCCTTTGTACCAGCAAATTTATCAGAATTCCACTTGTTCTTCATAATTTATAATACATGACATTATATGCCTGTTAAATTTTAGACATTTGAGTGGGTATTCAGTGGTATTGTACTGTAGTTTTAATTCACATTTCCCTGATAATGTTGAGCACTCTTTTTTTCTTACATAGTTTACTGTCAAGTTGGTTTCCATATAACACCCAGTGATCATCCCAGCAAGTGCCCTCCTCGATGCCTCTCCCACACCCCTGTCAGCCCTCAGTTTGTTCTCAGTATTCAAGAATATCTCATGGTTTGACTCCCTCCCTCTCCCCAACTATTTTTCTACCCTTCTCTTCCCCCCCTCTGTTAAGTTTCTCCTGTTGCACTTATGAGTGCAAACATATGGTATCTGTCTTTCTCTGCCTGACTTATTTCACTTAGCATAACACCCTTGAGTTTCATCCACATGGCTACACATGGCCAGATTTCATTCTTTCTGATGGCCATGTAGTATAGATAAACCACATCTTCCTGATCCATTCATCAGTTGATGGACATTTAGCTTCTTTCCATGATTTGGCTATTGTAGAAAGTTTTGCCATGATCATTGGGATACATGTGCCCCTATGCATCAGCACTCCTGTATCCCTTGGGTACATTCCTAGCAGTGCTATTGCTGGGTCATAGGGGAGTTCTATTGTTAATTTTTTGAGGAATCTCCACAGTGTTTTCCAGAGGGGCTGCACCAGTTTTACATTCCCAACAACAGTGTAGGTGGGTGCCCGTTTCTCCACATCCTCGCCAGCCTCTATACTCTCCTGATTTGTTCATTTTAGCCACTCTGACTGACATGAGGTGGTATCTCAGTGTGGTTTTGATTTGTATTTCCCTGATGAAGAGCGATGCTGAGTATTGTTTCATGTGTTTGTTGGCCATCTGCATGTCCTCTTTGGAGAAGTGTCTGTTCATGTCTTCTGCCCATTTCTTCACTGGATTATTTGTTTTTCCAGTGTGGAGTTTGGTGAGTTCCTTATAGATTTTGGATACCAGCCCTTTATCTTATATGTCATTTGCAACTATCTTTTCCCATTCTGTCTGTTCCTATTAGTTTTCTTGATTGTTTCCTTTGCCATGCAGAAGCTTTTTATCTTGATGAAGTCCCAGTAGTTCATTTTTGCACTTGATTCCCTTGCCTTTGGGGATGTGTCAAGTAAGAAATTGCAGCGGTTGAGGTTGTTTCCTGCTTTCTCCTTTAGTGTTTTGATAGTTTCCTGTCTCACATTCAGGTCCTTCATCCATTTTGAGTTTATTTTTGTGTATGGTGTAAGAAAGTGATTTAGTTTCATTCTTTTGCACGTTGCTGTCCAGTTCTCCCAGCACCATTGGTTAAAGAGGCTGTCTTTTTTCCTTTGGATACTCTTTCTTTGTCAAAGATTAATTGGCTATACATTTGTGGGTCCAATTCTGGGTTATCTATTCTATTTCATTGGTCTGTGTGTCTATTTTTGTGCCAATACCATACTGTCTTGATGATGACAGCTTTGTAGTAGAGGCTAAAGTCTGGGATGGTGATGCCTCCCGTTTTGATTTTATTATTCAGTATTACTTTGGCTATTCAGGGTCTTTTATGGTTCCATACAAATTTTAGGATAGTTTGTTCTAGTTTTGAGAAGTATGCTGGTGCAATTTTGATTGGAATTGCATTGAATGTGTAGAATGCTTTAGGTAGTAATGACATCTTAACTATATTTATTCTTCCTATCCATGAGCATGGAATGTTTTTCCATTTCTTTGTGTCTTCTTCAATTTCCTTTATAAGTTTTCTCTAGTTTTCATCATACAGATCTCTTGTATCCTTGGTTAGGTTTATTCCTAGGTATTTTATGGTTTTTTGTGCAACTGTGAATGGGATCAGTTTCTTGATTTCTTTCTGTTGCTTCATTGTTGGTGTATAAAAATGCAACTGATTTCTGTACGTTGATTTTATACCCTGCAACTTTGCTGAATTCGTGGATCAGTTCTAGTACATTTCTGGTAGAGTCTGTCGGGTTTTCTATGTAGAGTATCATGTCATCTGCGAAAGTGAAAGTTTGAATTGCCAGTTCTGATGCCTTTGATTTCCTTTTGTTGTCTGATGGCTGATGCTAGGACTTCCAGCACTATGGTAAACAACAGTGGTGAGAATGGACATCTCTGTCATGTTCCTGATTTCAGGGGAAAGCTGTTTTACCCCATTGAGGATGATATTAGCTGTGGGCTTCTCATAAATGGCTTTTATGATGTTTAAGTAGGTTCCTTCTATCCCAACTTTCTTGAGGGTGTTTATTAAGGACGGATGTTCTATTTTGTCAAATGCTTTTTCTGCATCTATCGACAGGATCATATGGTTTTTATCTTTTCTTTTGCTAATGTGATCTATCACATTGATTGATTTGCAAATATTGAACCAGCCCTGTAACCCAGCGATGAATCCCACTTGATCTTGGTGGATAATTCTTTTTATATGCTGTTGAATTTGATTTGCAAGTATCTTGTTGAGGATTTTTGCATCCATATTCATCAAGGATATTGGCCTGTAGGTCTCCTTTTTTGCTGGGTCTCTGTTTGGTTTGGGAATCAAAGTGATGCTAGCTTTGTAGAATGAGTCCAGATGTTTTCCTTCCATTTGTAATTTGTGGAATAGCTTGAGAAGAATGGGTATTAACTCTGA